GGGTGGGAATGTGGACTAGAACTCAAATTCCTTAAAAGTTCAGACTTACTAGACCAGTTAGGATTAGAGGACTCCCTGTTGGGCTAGGGCCATAAATTGTCCACAAAGCAACAGAAAAGTGGGTGAAGGGAGACATTGGTCAGTGTAAGACAGGGAAAAATAACAATAATTTATAAATTATCAAGGGTTTGTGAGGGAGGAAGGGAGGGAGAGAGAGAGGAGAAAAAAATGAGGAGCTGATACCAAGGGCTGGAGTAGAAAGGAAATGTTTTGAAAATGATGATGGCAACAAATGTACAAATGTGCTCGACACAATGGATGGATGGATGGATGGATGGATTGTGAAAAGAGCTGTATGAGCCCCCAATAAAATGATTGAAAAACAAAGACATAGACCACAAAGTCAATGTTCTCCATCCGACTTTGGTGCGTACTGACTGGGGTCTTAGAAGCTCATGAACGGCCATAGAAGAGGCAGCGCTGCCCTTCCAGTGTCCAGAGGAGAGAGGAAGGATGAAAATGGAAAGACAGTAGTTGGACGGAGCACTTAGACATCATCTCCACAGCTCGATGGTGCCCAGCGACCGCTACCAACTGCTCTGGAAGGGGTCGCTTTGGAAGGAACTGGGTATGGTGAAAATGAACAACGAAATCATAAAAAATCCAGGCTTACTGGTCAGGTGGAGACCAATAGTGGAACCCCCAAGAAGATGGCGGGACAGTCCCGATTTTTGGCATTTTTAAAAAGTCCCGATTTTTGGAAAGAATGCACAACAAGCTAGGGAACGGTCTATTTGGTCCATATAGACCACATTTTTAATCAAGAACCCCTCCAACCCCACCCCGGTCAATGGTGTCCCGCTTTAATCAGATCACCTTACCTTAGTCACCCTTCAGGTCTGGGACTGAATAAGACAGTAGAGAGGGCCATACACCTTAGAATAAACAATGATTTCAGATTAAAAGGAGACCATTCACCCACGGACAAAGTTCAGAGGGTTAGAAAAAAAGAGGAATTAAAACAGAAAACATAGGGAGCCAGTGGGATAAGTGATGTTACAGCATCTGAATTGAGATCCATGAGATGAAATAAAGTGTATATGAATTGTTGAAGAGAAAGTGGATCATCTGTCTGTGACCTCCACAATAAAAAAGTTAAAAATAATAATACTGTCTCCTAATTGATAAATATGACTATCTTGAACACTGCAGTCATTGAGAGAATTAACCAGGTGGGATCAATGGACATTGGCCACTCAGAAGGTTGGATAGGAATCTTAGGGGGCTATGAATTTGCGATAATGGCGATGGGGTGATTTAGGAAACAATAGTAAGAATGGTGGAATTATTTGAAGAATGCAATCAATGTTACTGAATTGTACATCTAAAAATAGTTGAGATGGTGTATTTTTGGCTTTGCACACCTTCAAAAAAACTAAATCAATACCCTTTTATAAATTAGAAAGCAAAAAAGACTTGGTGACTCCCTAAAGCCATTGTCCTGAGATACTCTTGAAGCATGGACCCAAACTACTCCCTGAAGTCACATTTTAGCAAAATAGCACCCACAGGAAAGGATATTACCCATGAGTACAATGCTTCATTAAGATAAAATCCATATGACTTAGACACCTGTTATTTTTCGCTTTAGATGTAATGATGGACTTCTAAAGTAAAATAGCACACCCCTGAGAAAAGTCCTTCTCAGGACAATCAACTATGCGAGACCAAAAAGGACAATCCCAA